TGAAATCCTCCTTCCTGGTGAGGATTACACCCTGACATTATTGGAGTGAGCAACTTGGCAGAAGCCACTGGTGAGTATTGGGGTGAGCATTTCAGACTATATTGTTATTTATAACTGTCCTGTTTTCCTTGTCCAAGGTACATTTTCATATGTGAATCATACCAATGAGAATTAGTGAATAGCATCATTACAAATTTCACAACAACAACACGGTGTATTGATTGGCAGAAGAAGCAGGCTGGAGAGAAATAAAATGGATTATCTCCTCGGGGTGTATGCGAGAGCAAAACACCGCAGCATTTGTTAATACAAACTTTGAGGAATGTTATTTCTGTATGACCTTAGCTTCATCAGTAAGCGGGATTTATACTCATCATGTATGTGAATTCAGATCTTTGCAGAAGCATTTTAATGCGCTCGAACAGGTGAGAAAAAGATTATGTGGGCACATGGCAGGTGATAGGATTTGGCAGGTTGTTGAGGAAATGGAGAAGAAGGATTTAGATCATCTACCTAAAGAGGACAGAATAAATAAATGAGTTGCTTGCACAGTGTAGCTGTTGGGAATATCGCCTTTGATTGAGCAGAAAAGTTAGTGTGTTGTAATACTATTCTTGTAATGTTGACTTAACTACACATTCACTACATTATGGGACTGCAAGCAGTTGCATTTCTTTTATTACAAAAGTATTTAATATCAATATAAAAACTGTTATCCTATTGATCTTTGTGCCAAGAACAAATAAATGCATTCAGCCTTCCAAAAGCTTAATTTTTTAATTGTTAATTTTTTGCATTATATGGGAATGGCCCTTTATCCCTTTATTTGATAAGATAAGCAGAGAGGAATTTTTACAGTTAACGATCTGATGTGGTGGCATAGTGCAGCCACCACAGCACTAGTTCTGTACGACTATATAGTGGCTCAATAAAGAAATAACAGTAATAACAGAAATTCTGGGCCTGTTTGGCTGTTTTAAGTCTCACTGTGTGCATCAAAACGCCCTCGGCACAAATCCTATTTAAAAGAGTTTGAGGTGAAACCGTTTTTACTGTCACGTCTAATCCAGCTCTGTGATGAAAAACAAACAAACCCACCGACCCAGACGGGGAGGTTAATCAAATTAGTCCAAAGACCGTGACAGTCTAGAGGATCTGACCACTATGTTTTCATCTGTGAAATCAAAGTTGATGTCACAGAAATGATAATCGTCTGGAAAAACATCCGTCTTATCCGGGTTTTATGTTCAATCTTCCATTGTCCTGTCACGAGACAATTTGATCAACTACTATATATTCAATATTCAATACTACACTAAGACCATTTAATTAATTTTGTGTTAAGATCTCATTATATTTGCAGTGCACACACTTTGGAGCTGTTAGAATATTCGTGATCCTCACGCAGCTGAGCAGTAAGTGTTCTTCATCTGATTAAACAGAGATGTGATTAAAAACAGCAGTGGAAGTCACTGTTCTATCTCACGCAGTAATCTCTAATTGAGCTCAGCGGAGCTGCCCTGGTTACCTGGTGTTTCTAACTTTAACTCAATGACACACATTTTACAGTGAGGTCAGTGTCCTTAACAGAAAGGTAAATCTGTGTTTGCTGCAAAAATTCTAAAATGTAAACATATAAGTCAAAAGAGGATTTACATCCTTTAATGTCATTAAATATGTTGCCTAAAGTGTTCACTCAGCCATCCAAATCATTGAATTCAGGAGTTCCAATCCCTTCCATCAGTCACGTAGGTGTGCAGACTGCTCCTGAAAGCATTTGTTAAAAAAAAATGGGTCACTCTCAGGACCTCAGTGAATTCCAGCGGGGATACCATGACAGGATGCCACATGTACAACAAGTCCAGTTGTAAAATTTCCTCACTACTAAATATTCCACAGTCAACTGTTAGTGGTATAACAAAGTGGATGTGATCGGCATAAACATCAACTCAGCCACAAAGTGGTAGGCCATGTAAAATCACAGTGCAGGATCAGTGAATGCTGAGGTGCATACTGTGTAGAAGTCACTAACTATCTGAAGAGTCAATCACTACAGACCTTCAAACTTTATGTAACCTTCAGATGAGCTCAAGAACAGTGCATAGAGAGCTTCATGGAGTCTGTTTCCATTAGTATTTATTTATTTATATAGCACATTTAATTACAACAGGAACGTTGACCAAAGTGCTGTACAAGAATACAAAATACCTAGTAAAATAACCTATAATATTGATACCAAACATCAAATATGAATTAACAAATAACTCCGATGCTGTATTAAAAGCCAGTAAATACAAATTAAGATAAGATTTAAAAAGATTGACAGTAGGAGCCTGTCTGACGTGTAGGGGTAAACTATTCCACAGCTTAGGCGCTACAACTGCAAATGCTCGATCGCCCCTATGAACCAGCCTCGACCTTGGTATGGCTAAAAGCAAAAGATCTCTTGATCTAAGAGATCTGGTGATATAGTGAAGCAGCTATATCACCAAGCACAATGCAACGTTTCAGATGCAGTGGTGTAAAGCATGGCGCCAAAGGCCTCTAGAGCAGTGGAGATGTGTTCTGTGGGGTGATTAATCATGCTTTCAGTTTGGTGTATCTGACATACTATAGTATGATAAACCTTCTGAGTTCTGAAGACATGGATATTAACCAGAGCAATGACCTTAGTTATAGACACTATTTGAAGAAGCATTAGGATAAAGTCAAAAAAGTTGGCTTGAAGTTCTTACAGATTTATTGCCAATAATATAACACGTACACAAGTGTTCACAGCCTTTGCCACGATACTCAGATGTATCCTGTTTACACGGATCATCTGACAATTATTTCTACAAGCTAACTGGAGTCCACTTGTGGTAAATTCAGTTGGTTGAACATTAGTTGGTAAATGCACATACCTGTCTATATAGGGTCCTATTGTTGACAGTGTATGTTAGAGCACCAACCAAGCCATGACGTCCAAGGAATTGCCTGTAGACCTCAGAGACAAGATTGTATAGAGGCCTTAATCTGGGGAACTGTATGAAAAAAAAAATCTGCAGCACCGAAAGTCCCAATGAGCACAGTAGCCTCTATCATCCACAAATGAAAGAAATTTGGAACCACTAGGTCTTTTTCTAGAACTGGCCTCCCAGCCAAACTGAGCAATTGAGGTAGATTGCTCTGAGATTGATTTCTGTTGTTTTAGTGTAAGACTGGGGGCTGTGGGAGCACTGCAGTTTCAAATTCCTGTGTATGACCTGAACAAATGGTTTTTAACAGTAAAGCTGACTTTGACTTTAGGAAGGACCTGTATTGGGGAGGCAACTAAGAACCTCATGGTCACTCTCACAGAGCTCCAGCATTGCTCTGTGGAGAACCTTGGAAGGCAACTGATGGACTCTCAGACCACAATAAACAAAATCTGGTCGGACGAAACAAGGATCAAATTCTTTTTCCTGGCCAATATCATCCCAGCACCACATCTCCATCTACAATGATGGTAGCATCATTCTGTGGGTATGTTTTTGCTTTTTAGCCACAGGAACTGTGAGAAAAATATCAAGGTTGGAAAAAGGAAGGGAAAAGACCACAGACTGGGTCAAAGTTAATCTTCAAACCACCTTAAACACAGAAATAATAACAAAGGAGTGGCTTTGCAACCAGAGGCAAGATTTGAACCCGACTGAACATCTTTGGAGAGATCTCAAAATAGCTGTGGAACAACACTCCCCATCAAACATGATGGAGCTTGAGAGGTTCTGCAAAGAAGAATGGGAGAAACTGACAAGCTTGTAGCATCATACTATTAAAAAAAAAAAGTAATTGATGCTTCAACAACATATTGAACAAAAAAATCTGAAATTAACTGTTAACTGTGTATTAGGTCAGTGTTTCCCAACCACCTTTCCGCGAAATGATCAGATGTGCCGTGGAAGATTATCTGGTTCCACCTTAGTACTGCAATCGGCGTGAATAATGGGCAGAACAATTACATTCTCTTCCACTAGAGGGCAGTGTAACTACCTTCTCTAATTAAATGGGTTGGCAACTTGCAGTAAAACAGAAGAAAACGAAGAATTAAAAAGTCATTCTGTGAGATGACGCAGTGCATAATAGCAATAGATAAAGTAGGAAAAAGTAGTCCGTCTGACCTGGGTCCTGGAGAAAATTCCGACCCAGATGAAGGCCCTTGCGTGAGTAGTGTTCAGAAGAAAGCATTAAGGTATACTGTGGGGACAAACCGAGCCAGTTCCACTATACCTCGTGTGCGGGAAAAAATAATTTCATGCTTTTTGTGACATTTTTGTTTGGTGGTGTGCCGTGTGATTTATTTTTCTAATGTGAAATATGTTGAGAAACACTGTCTTAGGTAATAGTTCTTATTTTTTCCTTTTAATTGTGGCTGGATGCAAGTAGCTCTGTTAGGATTTATCCAAAAACTATCACATCAGGTAATTCAAAACCATGGGTGAACTGGTCACCTGGTCGATCCAATCTAGCGCCAGCAATCGTTGATCCAATCACGTCTGTCTATTGTGACTGTTGTTAACCGAGCACAAAGATTAAGGACCAAATTCAGTGGCTGAGCAGAGACGCGTTACATGAACTACGTAGCACGCACCAGTAGAATCTCTAACGTGAGATGTTTAGGGGCCAGAAAAAGTGTACGATGAAATTTCAAGGCAACAACATGCAACTGATGGATAGATATTTAACAAGTATGGTGGTAACTAATATGGTATTTAACAGCATTCTGTTTATATTTTTAATGTCCATTTATTTTATTTTAATTTCACTGCGCATTTATAAATCTCCAAATGGTTGTTGTCGTGTATAAAAAAAGAATTGGTAGCACGGGTGAATATGATTTCACGGAACAGAGAAATAAAATAAAATCACGCATAAGTTGAAATTCTCTAAATACCGCAATTGGATATGTCTGCTTTGTTGCTGCCTTCAGCAGATGAGCGATTTTTCTTATTTCGTGTATCGAAATTTTGAGATTACGAGGCGCATTGAAGTACTCTTATGTCTTCTTTGTATTGTACTCAGCTGTCGTGGTTTGTACGGATGTACAGTATGTGGGAGGGGGTAGCTGCTTAGCAAAAGTCCAGTGATGTGAAGAACGAGACAGACTGGAGGCCGGTCTCAAGCGTACATCTGTCGGCCCGTCGGTGGTCACTCGGTCGGTCTGTCGCGATGGATTTCGTGCTGAGCGGAGTGGCGGCATGCGGCGCTTGTGTGTTCACCAACCCGCTGGAGGTCGTCAAAACTCGCATGCAACTTCAGGGAGAGCTAAAGAGCCGCGGATCCTACCATATTTATTATCGCAACGTCTTCCACGCTTTTTATACTATCGGCAAAGTGGAAGGACTAGTGGGATTACAGAAAGGATTAGTACCCGGGCTATACTATCAGTTTTTTATGAATGGAGTCAGGCTCGGGTCGTACGCCATCATAGAGTCCTCGGGTTACATCCACACCAATGGAAGGGTCAACGCTGTCAAAACCACAGTAGCAGGGGCTATGGCTGGAGTGGTGGGAGCTGTGATGGGCAGCCCCATATACTTGGTCAGTAGCTGGCTTTGCCCACTTGCCTTGTGAAAAGTTATTCAGGCGTGACCTTAAAGTGAACTGTGACTTTCACCTGTGGTCAATGATAAACTTAAATTGTCTCCACTGACAGGTGAAGACTCACCTGCAGAGCCAGGCCACCTCCTCTATCGCGGTTGGTCATCAGTACAAGCACCAGGTAACCTGAGAAAGTGAATGTGCGAATATGAGTGGGAGGCATCAACAGTGTCCTAAAATGCTGCTCGTCTTCACCACAGGGGATGACCCACGCCCTGGTTGCCATCTACAGAAATCATGGCATTCTGGGACTGTGGAGGGGCTCTAGCGCTGCAGTGCCGAGGGTCAGCGTGGGGTCGGCCGCTCAGCTGTCCACCTTCTCCTCCTCCAAGGAGCTCGTCATTGACCTGCAGGTTGGTGTGTGGCTCATTTGCTTTTGACATGAAAATGAGGTAGAAGGCGGCTCACAGAGGGAGTTTTGTTTCTTCACTACTCCACCATGTGTGCATATTTTCCATATGTCCACACTGTTTAAAATAAACATGACTGTTTTTTAGAGTCTGCTTGTATAGTGAGTGTCGGTTGGGTAACACATCTGAACACTCCTTATTTACATTCTTGTCTAATTACGAGACCAAATCAGAACTAGAGGCTTGAGAAGGTGATTTACAGTCAGTAGCTGTTTACAGGCTCCTAAAGCGCCCGCTGTAACACTGACAAAGCGCTCTGTATTCCACTCCCCTGGAATGGAAATTCGACACCTTTTATTGGCCCCCTGTTGAAAACACAAGGCTTGCGTAACTAGAGCATCAGTCTGCATGATGTAAATCAGTGACCCAGCTCTAGTTTTAAAAAAAGAGTTCCTTAATAAGAAATTCCCAAAAAATTATATTAGCAAAAATCCTTACATTTGTGTATACTTTTAATTTACTACTTCCTTGATTTGGCTGACTTACTTTACGCTGTCCCAACTGGTTGGTTGTGTGAGTAAGAATGGAGGTGGACTTGAACATACCTCCCATCATCTCAGCCATTACCTCATGCATAATTAGCTTTATTAAACCAAAGAAGAAGAACTTTGTATTTAGAATAGAAAAGAATAAAATTGCCCTTTGTTGTCATTGTACGTGTACAGCAAAATTGTGGGTGGTCCACACTAACTGTGCCAGAATAAAATAACTAAAAATGGAAAAAATTGGTAAAAAGTATAAAATCAAGAGCGATAGCTGAACTTCTATGACAGTCCGGACTATGACTAATTTGGGTGTTATTGTGGTCATTGGGCAATATATTGTCTTTCTTTCCTGTCCTCGTCAGTGAGTCGGGCTTTCCGTCTTTCACAGTGTGCTTCATAAGGATGGACAAATTGGCTAATGATTTCAAACAGATGGTGGGAACTGAAGCGGTGCAGAAGAGACAAAATTATTGCCGTAGAGTTAAAAAAAAAAATGCTGACATGCTAGATTTTGAGTCAGGACATTGCAAGGTGTTGTGCAAAGCTCCCTCCATCATATGGGTTGTGCTACAGCCGGGCTGACACTATGCATTAGACAGCTCTCTCTTCCATCATCATCAAATACCAAATAAGGGGATATCTTTGGGGAGTCCAGAAATTTCAGCTTGAAACATCAAATAGTTTCTAGATATTTGTTTAGAGGGTGTGCTTAAATATGGGACTGTAATAGCTTTATTATATTGGATGGTAAGAAAGACAAGTGAAAATGTCAGGCTTTTGTCTTTAACTGTTTTTGAGAAACTCGTGTTAAAGATTGCCTCGGATTTCAAAGTGTGACAAAACTTTGAAATGTATCGACGGATGATTTTTAAATTACAATATGTGTTAAACAAATAAAATTTCATATATCCAAACGTTGGGCTGTATTAGCAGGTGAATCGGAAGGTGCACGGTAACTTGAGATGGAATGACCTCGATAATAATAGAGCCTCCTTCCTCTGGTTCGCTGCACGTAACCGTGCAATTATGAGGAGTTAAAATTAGAAGTGGCTGCACACATGCTGCTATCTTGATAATGACTTATTCCTCTACTTCTATTGCAACCGCAGGCCCACGTGTGCACGCTCTCTAAACCTGTCCATCCTGTAATATTTTCTTCTGTTGCCAAGGTGTTTCCAGCGAACAGCTGGCTGGTGGCCCTCAGCGCCGGCATGATCAGTAGTGTGGTGGTGGTGCTGGCTATGACTCCTTTTGATGTGGTGAGCACGCGGCTCTACAACCAGCCCGTGGATCATTTGGGCAAGGTGAGCACAGGGGCCAGACTGGGGAAGTATGAAGTGAAGGGAAGATCCTAGCTCACGGCGTGGTTGATATGTTTTCATTGTATTCATCCTCTGTGAATCCCTCATTGTGTCATCTCCCATTTGTGTGGGAGAAATTGTTGGTCGCTTGGCTCCAGGTTTAGACAAGAAAGATTGCTTGAACAAAAATACAAGGTGGGTGTAGAACAAGAACAATCATTCTTTTGTTTTTTAGGGTCAGCTCTATAAAGGATTTACTGACTGCTTTTCCAAAACCCTGAAGAAGGAGGGATTGACGGGGCTTTACAAAGGCCTGGGAGCGTCTTATTTCCGACTCGGTCCACACACCATTCTTTCGTTGTTTTTCTGGGATGAACTGCGCAAATTCTACCAGCCGTTCAGATAACACCCGGGACGAAGACACTGGAAAATGGGTAACTCATTATGTTCTGAGTGCAGAAGGTTAAATGAATCGTCGTTTAATGAGTTTATGATTATCCGGTGGATGGAAACACCTGAAGGTGTTCTAGAGCAAAGGTAATGTTTTACACTCCAGTTAAAAAAACACTTTAGAGTCAAATGTGTCAAGAATGAAGGTGAAAATGTTAAATTATTGAGCTGCTGAAGGATATATTAACTGCACTTGTCACATAGAACCATACAGTATGCTGTATGTCCTCCAGAGGAAATTCAACACTGTACCTTTTCTCTAGCTCTTAAACTCCTGTGTACTGAGGATACGAGGTCAATGTCCTATTATTCTGTGTGTCTGGGAATTAGGAAAATCTGATCGTGATACAAATTCCCCGCAGCAGCCTTGTGCTTGTTTTCAGGTGATGAAGAGTATTCTATACTGTAGCAACATAGTTAATCATTTTGGCCTTTAGCAATTTCCCTCAAGCAACTTTGCCTTCGACTCATTAAAGCCAATGAGAACCAGTTGAAAACCAAAACTTCTTTAAACTTTTTTTAGGTCTATGTGGAGTTTCCTAAACTTTCTAAAGACTGCAAACATGCCAGGCTCAAGTTTTGTGAACTGTATATAATTGTGTGGATGCCCTCAAGGGCATCCACACAATTGAGTTCCTGTTTCTCTTTATTCTTTATTCCACTATTTTATTCTAGTTGCTTCCGTACACTTTTTGGCGCTTAACTACTCCCACAGTTTTTGTGCTATTTTCACCGTTCAAATCTTAAAAAATTCTGCTCTTTCCGCTAAAGTTGAATTTTTTTTGCAATATTTTTTGCCCATTTCTGCCATATTATCAGTGGCCTCACTGATTTTCCTTGCCGGGTTGACCTGTGTTTTAGCTCAGTGAGATAAGCATCCGTTCTCAGACTGGGAGGCCCGGGTTCAAATCCCGCTTATGGCAACATTTCTTTCAGTTAACAGTTAAACTTTTTTAACTCTTTTCAACACAAATTTCAGCTTTTTCACCCCTTTTCAGCAGAATTTTCAGTTTTTTCACCACTTTTCAGCACAAATACCAGCTTTTTCAGCTGTTTTCAGCAAAAACCTCTTTTCAGCAGAAATTCTGCTGATTGAACTCTTTTCGGCAGAAATTCTGCTCATTCACCTCTTTTGAGCAGAAATTCTGCTGATTGAACTTATTTCAGCAGAGTTTTCACCTCTTTTCTGCCCAAATTCTGCTTATTCACCTCTTCTGCAAAATTTTCAGCCTTTTCACCTCTTATCAGCACAATTCTCAGCAGCTTCTGCTCATTTCAGCAAAATTGTCAGTCTCTCCACCTCTTCTTTCTGAGAATGAGTTTGGCGCAGTGAGATGAGTAGCCTTGAGACCAGAAGAGCCAGGTTTGAATCCTGCTCAGGGCAACGTTTTTTTCAACTTTATACTTTTTCAGCTTTTTTCAGCAGACATCTTCAGTGTTAAGGCATCCACACAGCATTTTCGCAGGAAATGCAAATTTTTCTAGTTGAGCTTTGAGTTTGAGTAGGTCAAATGCATCCTAGAATATAGTTACTGTCAAAACAGTATGTGGAGAAAAATGTTTCCCAGCCTTACAAAAGGATAAATATGTAACGTGGTTAAAGGCAACTCTAGGACAAAGGCTTTGTTTCAAAATGACTTCTGCAGTAGACAGATTTCCTCTTTAGGTGAAGAAAGAAAACTCCACTAACATGAAATATTTTAGGCCTCATAAACCAAAGCGAGTATCCAGTGGATCTGCCAAAAAAAAGGATGTGAAAGCCAATGCTCTCCCTAAGCATGTGGTACTGTATAATAGCAGGAGCCGTTACTCTTAATATACACATCAAAGCGGCTCCCTCCATTAAATTAGACAAACAACAACAACAACAACAAAAAACTGCACATTTTTCATTGCCATACATGACACATTTCATAAAAAGTATTGTGTTTAAACACTGATGGAGACTGGCCCCTTTTTTCTAAATGTAAATGGATTATAACTGCACTGGTACATTTGTTGAGTGTGCAAGCGCGGGTTAAAGTATTTCACTGTCATATAAATTTATTTGTGACGTTGACAAAACATTCAAACGTTCAATTAATTATTGCCATGAGTTAGAAACCTTACTGCTGCTCTGCTAAAATGTCTTGGTTAAGCAAAAATCTGTTGGTGAAGCTAGTTGGTGAATAGTGTGCCTTAATAAACCTTTAGGAATAAAAGCGGTCTATTTTAATATGTTACAGACGTGACGTTTATCAGCTCGTCCACTGACTCCATCTGCTTGAGTTTTGGTTCTATGAAGTGTTCATAATTGAGCCCAACAGTCAGATTGCCATGAAATGGAAACTGTTGGTAACATTTTGCAGTTCCACAAAACTTTGTGGATTTTGATGCTTTCTTAATAAGTGTAGGATGCCCATGATTTTATTTATATGAGCATTATTAGTTATTCCCGACCACCTTTGAATGCAACAGCACAATGTGACATGTAACAAATGTACTGTAGCTCTACGAATAGAGTTCCCTGAAGTTTGTGACAGAAGGCAGGAAACTGTTATTTAAGTTTATTAAATATTATGAAGTTTTGAACTTCAAAAGAATTGAGTTTTGGCAATTTTTCTGTTTTTAAATGTGTTTTTCTTGATATAATTATGCTCATTTGTTCTTTGTATATGGTTCCTTATGGAGTTTGTTTTTTGTTTTTTTTTGTAAGGGAACATGATTTTTTTAATTTTTATTTTAATTGTTAAGGTGGTATTGATAGGTGTACTAGGCAGCAGTGCGGCATATCCAAATACTGATGGAACAATTTTAGGGTGGATCAAAATATAATGGTGCTGTGGTCTTTGCATGGAGCCCAAAGGGAACATGGATTCTTCCACATCTGTCACTTCAGTGGTTTCATGAGACTTCTGTCAAACAAAAGTTGTGCCAAAAGTTGTGTCATTAACAATTACCAATCCAGCTCTATTCTATTACACCGCAGTTCAATACCTTAGCTTTTAGTTATGATAAAGTCAGATTACAGCAAACTGAGCTGTTTGAATGCAAACCTGTATTTGGACTTTTCTCTACAGTCTCAGTAAATAGAAAGATTAGTTGATAGTTTTAGGAATAAAAACTTTAGAATTGATAGAGGCCTTGGAAAGGGAGCGATTTGATGCTCAAACACTATAAATGCAAAAAAAAACGTATATGTATCAACACTTTTGTTTGGAAATCTTTCAGTTCATTTCTCTGTGTCTCTATTAAACGATATTTGCCAAAGTTTAAACCTCATGACAGTTCTAAAAGTTATGTGTTATCGGTCATTTCATGGAGCAGCTTGGTTCAATTTCATGAATGTTAGAAAATAATTTTCCAACATGGTTTTTTGATATGTGGAATGGAAGTGAAGAGCAAATAAACTCAGACTTTTATTGTCCAACAGTGTGGTGGTTACTTACTTTGTTCAACAGTGTTGAAAATGTAAAATTTCCTGTGTGTTATTCTCAAACTTTACTGCATATGTCTTGTAGTACATTTATGTCATTTTCAAGATTTCCCACCATTGAGCAGCAGCTAGCTGGAGTTTCTTTTCCTTAAAAGAGATGAACTCACCGCTACATTGAAGAACTGGTAAAGTGATGAAGTTTCCCATCAGCTGGTAGAGAACAGAAAGTGCTGGACAAAATTTCTTAAATGACAATATCGCTCTGCTTGGCAGGTGACTTAAGAGGACTTATGAAGAAGTATGCTAACGTTTTCTAATTGGTAATGTTACAGTAGTTATTACTGGATATTTTTTTTCTGCGTGACTTTCTTTGTGCATGACTGGATGTTAGTTGCACCTCCAACTGGAAGTTAAGGTTAACCTTTCTGTGAATGCCTGATATCATAGTTATGAAAATCACCTGTGTCAACCTGCAACGTGACTCCTACTGCAGGAAGTAGAGATAATTATGTGTACACATATGAAAAGGGCCTTTGGCATAAGGATGACTGAAGGTGGCGTGTCTTTAATACTGTACACTTTAACAAAAAATGACTGAGAAAAACTGTTGACCAATATTTCACAGTTACACAATACTTTGCAAAAGTTCATGACAACCCTTATTTCTTCATATTTTGCTAGTGAAAATCAGGAACTCGCATGAAAATCCAGTGTAAAAAGCAAAAATAGAGTTTGTACAATTCTAACCTCGTCCATACATATTGATGATCTGAACTAAATAGAATATCGAATTTGATTTCATCCCTTCATAAGACCTGCTGCCACTGATTTTTAGTCCAGTCCTTGTGTAGTTTCGGATACTTATCACATGCAGAACTGAAAATGTAATCTACGTGATACAGTGCCTATGCAATAAAATGAATATAGGAGAAACATCCTGCCCTCTGAAAGATCGAATTAATGAACACAGATGTTCGATCAAAAGGCTTGATCTAACCAGCCCTGTTGCAAGACACTTCAATGATAAACATCCAAATTCACCATTATTGTTTCTAAGCCATTAAACTAAACCAAAGAGGTGGTAATATTAACTTTATCCAGAAAAAAAGCATTTTGGATATTCCGCTTTAAGAGTCTGCACCCCAGAGGTATGAATGAGGATTTTTCTATCAATGAGTTTTTGTGAACGGAACCTTTTTTATGTTTTTATTCTAATTTTATCAGTTAAATTATTCTCGCATGGGTAATGTTTATTTAATTAATTTTATTTATTTTTTCAGCCAAAGGAGTAGCATTCTAGACATCCCATCTTAACTCTACATTTTAGAGATTTTACATTTTAGAGACATAAACTAGGACCTTTTAACAAATGTGTTCCTATGGGATGATGTCCTCTTGTTTTTTAATTCAACTGCTAGATGAACCTCCTTTTATTATTAAATACTGCCTTGTCCCTTTTTTTGTGTGTATTCATAGTTTTCTTCTTATGTATTTCACACACGTGTTATTTTGAGACAGGTGGGGATTATGTCTCCTCCCCTCCTCATCATTAATGATCTAGTCCAGTATTTACTTTTGCGTGACTTAACCAATTAATCATTACCTACCTGTTATATGTCATCTGATCTATCTATGAAGTTTTGATTGGTTAATTTTAATTTTTTTTCTGTTTCCTGTCTTGTATTTAAGCAATTTTCTACAATGTTTTACTATGACCCTGATGAAGGCCACAAGCCGAAATGCGTTGGTCAATTATTAAAGTTGTTCATCTTCCCTTAAGTCTTGCTGGAGTTCCTGCATTGTGAATTCTTTCATCCTCTCCATGCACCTTGGAAGTAGGTGAAGTTGTGCCAGAAATTTTTGCTGTAGTTTCAGATACCTCAGCCAAACGAAAGTCTTCCTATAAAAAAAAAGGATGAGTGGCTCAAGCGTTCAATTTGCACTACATTTAAATCCATACTGAAATAAGGAACCTCATAAATTATAGTTATTAAATTGTTTATATAATGGGTTTTTGTGTTCTGTTTTAAAATAGGAAAGTTAGGAAATAACTACCTGAACAAAAACAAACACTGGTGGCTAAAAATACCTGAAGGTCAAGTTAGATTACTGAACACACTAGACTGTAAATATCCTGCAGATATGAACTTAAGCACTCTGACTGTGAGCTTACTGTGCGAGTGCCTCGGGTAAAGGGTACAAATTTTTGGAGACGCTCAAATTACAACACAAAATAATGAAAATATGATCAATATGTGATACCAACAGGAAGAGTAAAATCTATCACAAAAGTAATGTTTTTCTATTTTGTAAAACATAAAAGTAAAAGAATAAAAGTATGACCATATGAATATTCCTGTAATCTCAAAGTAGGGACTAATAAGTGATATTCCAGCAAAAGCTTCTATATTTGTTCTCTTCAGCCCACTTTGAAATGGTTTGCGGTTTACTCAGCGAGTTTAATCTGGTAAACTTTAGTTTGATGTTGATGCAAATTTGAAATGGCTCAACAGAAAGACACAGAGCTGCCAGA